TTTTGGCACACCCCTCACACGGTTCGTGGCCCCACAGGGAGCTCCACCGAAGGCCCCAATGGCACAGGCCGCATGCGGGGACCGCCTCCATTTTGGCACACCCCTCACACGGTTCGTGGCCCCACAGGGAGCTCCACCGAAGGCCCCAGTGGCACAGGCTGCATGCGGGGACCGCCACCCATTTTGGCACACCCCTCGCACGGTTCGTGTCCCCACAGGGAGCTCCACAGAAGGCCCCAGTGGCACAGGCCGCATGCGGGGACCGCCACTCATTTTGGCACACCCCTCACACGGTTCGTGGCCTCACCGGGAGCTCCACCCAAGGCCCCAGGGGCACAGGCTGCATGCGGGGACCGCCACCCATTTTGGCACACCCCTCGCACGGTTCGTGGCCCCACAGGAAGCTCCATCGAAGGCCCCAGTGGCACAGGCCGCATGCGGGGACCGCCACTCATTTTGGCACACCCCTCACACGGTTCGTGGCCCCACAGGGAGGTCCACCGAAGGCCCCAGTGGCACAGGCCGCATGCGGGGACCGCCACCAATTTTGGCACACCCCTCGCACGGTTCGTGGCCCCACAGGGAGCTCCACCGAAGGCCCGAGTGGCACAGGCTGCATGCGGGGACCGCCACTCATTTTGGCACACCCCTCGCACGGTTCGTGGCCCCACAGGGAGCTCCACCGAAGGCCCCAGTGGCACAGGCCGCATGCGGGGACCGCCACCCATTTTGGCACACCCCTCGCCCGGTTCGTGGCCCCACAGGGAGTTCCACCGAAGGCTCCAGTGGCACAGGCCGCATGCGGGGACCGCCACCCATTTTGGCACACCCCTCACACGGTTCGTGGCTCCACAGGGAGCTCCACCGAAGGCCCCAGTGGCACAGGCCGCATGCGGGGACCGCCACCCATTTTGGCACGCCCTCCACACGGTTCGTGGCCCAACAAGGAGCTCCACCGAAGGCCCCGTAAGGAGCTCCCCTTTCTTCGTCCCAGCTGTCCTGCGGCACTCACACCTGCATATGGTTGGGCTCTTTGCCAGGATAACTTTGTCTCGGTGCCATGCTTGAAGGAGGCCATCGAAACTGTTTGCGATAGAAAACAAGGTGAAGTCCCATTCGGCGTGGAACATATGCGTTTTGCGCGTGCCCGCTTGAGGAACATGCGCCCCCCATGTCGGATCATGGTTGCCTAATGGGGTCCGTACCGCTTTCCTTCGTAAAAAAGAAGATGCGGAGCGTTTTGCGTAGAATCCGTACTAAATAGCAAGGTTTGGAGCCCCGACCAGAACACAAAAACGTGAGCATGTTAACTTTTTCCGTGCCCGCTCGAGGATGGCGCATCCTGCGCGCAGAGATTTTGGGGATGTGTCGAACGAAACGCTCGCTTTGCAAAATTTGAGGGGCCTGGGCTCCAGGATGCCCAGGGGGTTCTGGGAGCACGAATCCAGTGTAATTTGCGAAGGATCGCGGCATTGGGAGCGCAACGCCAGAGTAATTTACTAGGGCTCGGGGCCCTGGGAGTGCGCGGGCTGTATAATTCACGATGGGGTGCGGCTTTGGGAGCGCAAATCCAAGGTCATTTATGAGGGATCGCGGCTTTGGGAGCGCAAATCCTGTATAAATTCCGAGGGATTGCGGCCTTGGGAGCGCGGGTTCAGCGTAATTTACGACGAGGGATCGTTGGCCCTGGGAGCGCGAGCGCCACGTAATTTACGAGGGATCGTGGCCCTGGGATTGCGGATGCCGTATGATTGAGAATTTGTTGAGGACGTCGTCTCGAGCGAAACGGTTGTTTTGTGTTATATATTGTTCCCCTCTTGGGGACCAGAATTCAGAGGATGTCTCAGGTGAAATGATTGTTTCACGTGCCCAGATCTTGAGGATGTCTCGAGCGAGACGCTTGGTTTCACGCGTCCAGGTCGCCCAGGCAGATGTCTAGCATGAGGATGTGTTGAGGATGTATCGAGCGACACGCTTGTTTTCACGTGTCCAGGTCGCCCAGGCGGATGTCTAGTACGAGGATGTGTTGAGGATGTGTCGAGCGAGACGCCTGGTTTCACGTGTCCAGGTCGCCCAGGCAGATGTTGTCTAGCATGAGGAGGTGTTGAGAACGTGTCGAGCGAGACGCTTGTTTTCACATGTCCAGGTCGCCCAGGTGGATGTCTACCATACGGATGTGTTGAGAATGCCTCGAGCGAGACGCTTGTTTTCACGTGCCCAGGTCACCCACGCGGACGTCGAACATGAAGATGTGTTCAGGATGTCTCGAGCGAACCGCTTGTTTTCACGTGTCCAGGTCGCCCAGGCGGATGTCTAGTATGAGGATGTGTTGAGGATGTGTCGAGCGAGACGCCTGGTTTCACGTGTCCAGGTCGCCCAGGTAGATGTTGTCTAGCATGAGGAGGTGTTGAGAACGTGTCGAGCGAGACGCTTGTTTTCACATGTCCAGGTCGCCCAGGTGGATGTCTACCATACGGATGTGTTGAGAATGCCTCGAGCGAAACGCTTGTTTTCATGTGCCCAGGTCACCCAAGCGGACGTCGAACCTGAAGATGTGTTGAGGATGTCTCGAGCGAACCACTTGTTTTCACGTGTCCAGTTCGCCCAGGCGGATGTTTAGCATGAGGATGTGTTGAGGATTTCACGTGTCCAGGTTGCCCAGGCGGATGTCTAGCATGAGGATTTGGGCAGGATGTCTCGAGCGAAACGCTTGTCGCCAGCACGTTCCTTAGCGCGTCCCTTTGGCAAGTCCCGCGGCGCGTCCCTTGGGACGTTCCGCGGCGCGTCCTCCTGGCATGTCCCCCTGTCAATGAGTTTTGGGGCAGCTACTATGTGCTCAGGCAGCTCGAGCTTAAGATCCAGATCAGTTCGGTCAGGACTCGGATGCAAAAGGAGGACTCGATCCATAACGCTATAGAGCACAATCGCGGCATGGCACATCGCAATTCAGCACGGTGCAGCACAGCATATCTCTCGACACTGTTCAGCAAGATCGATGCACTCAGCATTTTATTTGCCCGTCGCCCAATCAGGTGTCTTTGAAACGTTGCCATGCTTTACATTTCTAGATTCCTTTCCAGGTTCGTGGGTCGATCATGTTGGGTCCGTCGTCCCGGGTGGCACGGCGCCGCCGAGGAATCGATCACCCTCCCATCGGCGACCGCTGCTCGGGGGGTGGCCGTGTTCGAAGGATTCTGCGGCTTTCAGCCTTGCGGAGGAGGAGAAGGAAGGAGAAGAGGAGGAAAACGAGAAGGAGGCAGAGTATTAATCATGATGATGCTGCTGCTGATGATGATGATGGCGGTGGCGCTGATGGTTGTGGTGAGCATGCATGATGATACTGATGGTGATGATGATGATGATGATGATGATGATGATGATGATGATGATGATGATGATGATGCTGATGATGATGATGATGATGGTGATGATGAATGTGATGATGGTGGTGGTGATGGTTGCGGTCGTGGTGATGATGACGTTGAAGATGATGATGATGATGATGATGGTGGTGATTATGATGATGTTGATGATGGTGGTGGTGATGATGCTGCTGCTGATGATGATGATGATGATGATGTTGATGACGATGCTTTTGATCATGTTGAAGGTTGTGATGATACATATGATGATGATGCTGATGATGATGATGATGATGATGATGATGATGATGCTGATGATGATGATGACGATGATGGTGATGGTGATGGTGGTGGCGAGGAGGGGGAGGAGAAGAAGATGGTCATGATGATTATGCTGCTGCTGATGATGATGATGATGATGATGATGATGCTGATGCTGATACTGCCGATCATGATGCTGCCGATGGTGATGCTGATGCTGATGCTGATGATGATGATGATGATGATGATTTTGATGATAAGGATGATGAGAATGATGATTGTGATACTGATGCTGTCGATGATGATGCTGATGATGATTTTGATGATGATGCTGACGATGCTGATAATGATGCTGATGATGCTGATGATGCTGATGATGCTGATGCTGCTGCTGATGATGATGGTGTTGGTGATGATGATGGGTGATAGTGATGGTGATGATGATGCCGATGATGATGCTGCTGCTGCTGATGATGCTGATGATGATGATGATGATGATGATGATGATGATGATGATGATGCTGCTGCTGCTGCTGATGCTGAGGATGAGGATGATGGTGGTGATGGTCATGATGATCATGCTGATAATGATGATTAAGATGAGGATGAGGAGGAACAGGTGGAGGAGGAGGATGAGGAGGAGGAAGAAGGCGGAGGAGGAGGGAGGTATAGGGGGGGAGGAGTGGGGGGAGGGGGGGGGGGAAGGGGGGCGAGGAGGTGTTGTGACACGCAGCTCGGTGGTGTCTGGCGGATGGTGCGCAGCTGTGTCAGGGAGGCCACGAGGAGGGGCAGTGAGGCGCAGCGCGCGCCCTTCGCCCCCCCCCCCCCCCCCCCCCCCCCCCTTTTGTGCCTCACCCACCTTCTCGCTCCTCCTTCCTCCCTCCCCTCCTCCTCCTCCTCCTCCTCCTCCTCCTCCTCCTCCTCCTCCTCCTCCTCCTCCTCCTCCTCCTCCTCCTCGACTCAGCCTGGCGCTACAATGTCTTGCAGCGACCACCTAAGAGCTGGGCGGCCCCCCCAGCCTCCGTTCACCGCAAGGGGTGAACACACAGAAGGCCAGACAAGTTAGGACGGGGCCCTCCTTCGACACCTCCTCCTCTTCTTTCTCGCCGCCCTTCTTCCCTCTCCTTCTGCTCCGGCCGACCGGGCCAGGCGCGCGAGGGAGGACCAGGGGGAGGGAGCGGGAGTGTAACAAGAGAGTGCGCCGTCCTTTCCCTCTATTCCTCCACCAGTTACACTCGTGGAAGGTGTGGTTCTCGCTGTCGGCATCGCCAAGTTGAAAGACGGGAGGGTCGGGTCTTGGGACGGGAGGGCTCTTCCTCTTCCTCCTCCTCTTGCTCCTCCTCCTCCTCCTCCTCCTCCTCCTCCTCCTCCCTCGAGGTATTGGCTGGGCGGCGGCTCCTTCCTCGCCTTCTGCTTTGGCCTGTTCCTCGGCGCCAACTGTCTGGCGGACGACCCGGCGGTGCACGAGAGGAGCACCCATGGGTCGGATGCCGGAGGGTTCCAAAGGGTTTTCTTTCCCGGAAAGGGCGCAGGCCCAGGGTTCTCTTTCAGTGTGGTAAACCTGTCCGAGCGAAACGCTCGTTTTGCAAAATTTGACGGGCCTGGGCGCTCCAGGATGCCTGGATCGCAAACCCAGTGTAATTTACGAGGGATCGCGGTTTTGGGAGCGCGGACGCCGCGTAATTTACGAGGGCTCGGGGCCCTGGGAGCGCGGATCCAGGTGTAATTTACTAGGGATCGTGGCCCTGGCAGTGCTGGGGCTGCGTAATTTACAAGAGGGTGCGGCTTTTGGTGCGCACATCCAAAATAATTTATGGGGGAACGCAGCTTTGGGAGTGCAAATCTTGTGTAAATTCAGAGGGATTGCGGCCTTGGTAGCGCGGGTGCCGCGTAATTTACGAGGGGTCGGGGCCCTAGGAGCGCGGGCGCCACGTAATTGACGAGGGATCGTGGCCCTGGGAGCGCGGATGCCGTATAATTCAGAACTTGTTGAGGGCGTCTCGAGCGAAACGTTTTTTGTGTTATAGATTGTTATATATTGTTCCGTAGCGCGTCCCCTTGGCCTTTGGCAAGTCCGGCGGTGCGTCCTCATGGCACGTTCCCTGGCACGTCGCCTGGCGCGTCCCTTGGGACGTTCCGCGGCACGTCCTATTGGCATGTCCCCCTGTCAATGAGCTCTGGGGCAGCAGGACTCGGATGCGAAGGAGGACTCGATCCACAACATTATAAAGCACAATCGCGGCATGGCACATCGCAATTCAGCACGGTGCAGCACAGCATATCTCTCGACACGGTTCATCCAGATCGATACACTCAGCATTGCAACCTGGCACGTTCACTAGCACGTTCCGTGGCGCGTCCCGTGGCGAGTCCCCCTGGCACGTCGCGCGGCGCGTCCCCTGGCACGTCCGGTGGCACGTCCATTGGCACGTTCCGTAGCGCGTCCCCTTGGCACGTCCCGCGGTGCGTCCCTGTGGCACGTCGTTTGGCGCGTCCCTTGGGACGCTCCGCGGCGCGTCCTCCTGGCATGTCCCCCTGTCAATGAGCTCTGGGGCAGCTACTATGTGCTCAGGCAGCTCGAGCTTAAGATCCACATCAGTTCGGTCAGGACTCGGACGCAAAGGAGGACTCGATCCACAACACTATAGAGCACAATCGCGGCATGGCACATCGCAGTTCAGCACGGTGCAGCACAGCACAGCTCTCGGCACGGTACATCAATATCGATACACTCAGCATTGCATTTGCCAGTCGCCCAATCAGGTGTCTTTGAAACGTTGCCATGCTTTACATTTCTAGACTCCTTTCCATGTTCGTGGGTCGATCATGTTTATTTTTCGTCCAAAGTCCGCCTGTAGGGGGACACGCCCGACTTAAGCAAAGAATCGGCGGACCTCGACCGCCGCCTGGGCTTGAGTCGGGCATGTCCTTCTACAGGAGGTATTTGCAGACATTGTAAACAAACAGTCCGGGGACGATTTTTGATTATGTTTGACCATTTATGAATATCTTTCCCAGGAAAGGCTTGGGCCTAGGGTTCTCTTTTAGTAGGTAAACCTGTCCCCGGGGCCAATTTTGAAGGGGGCCGGCGGATGACGGGAAGCGTCTTCGAGGTACGAGAAGCAAGCGGGACGTTCTGGCTGAATCCTTGAGTAAATATATACATATATATATCTTTATATCTATGGGTTGCCGCGCTGCACGGGATTTTTCGTTGGCGGATGACGGGAAGCGTCTTCGAGGTACGAGAAGCAAGCGGGACGTTCTGGCTGAATCCTTGAGTATATATATATATATATATATCTTTATATCTATGGGTTGCCGCGCTGCACGGGATTTTTCGTTGGCGGATGACGGGAAGCGTCTTCGAGGTACGAGAAGCAAGCGGGACGTTCTGGCTGAATCCTTGAGTATATATATATATATCTTTATATATATGGGTTGCGCGCTGCACGGGATTTTTCGTTGGCGGATGACGGGAAGCGTCTTCGAGGTACGAGAAGCAAGCGGGACGTTCTGGCTGAATCCTTGAGTAATATATATATATATATATATATATCTTTATATCTATGGGTTGCGGGGCCGCACGGGAGTTTTCGTTGGCGGATTCCCCAAAATGGCCATTTCGCTCGAGACATCCTCGAAAAATCGAGGTGTTGGAGGCTATCGTTTAAGACGTCTTATGTTAAAAATGACGGTTTCGCTCGAGACATCCTCAAAAAATCGGGATGTTGAAAAATATCAAAAATTTTTGTTATGCATGAAAAATGAGCGTTTCGCTCGAGACATCCTCGAAAAAATGAGATGCCGACAGAGGTGTTTTAGAACCTCTTATGTTAAAAATGACGTTTTCGCTCGGGACGTCCTCAGAAAATGAGCAGGTGGTCTGCCGTGCTCCTGTGTGGAGCACGGCAGACCACGGCCATTTCGCTCGAGACATCCTCAAAAAATCGAGGTGTGGTCTGCCGTGCTCCTGTGTGGTCTGCCTTGCTCCTGTGGTCTGCCGTGCTCCCACAGGAGCACGGCAGACCGCGCGTAGGAACCGAGAGGAGCACGGCAGACCAAGACGAGGAGCACGGCAGACCAGGCTTAGGAACCGAGAGGAGCACGGCAGACCAAGACGAGGAGCACGGCAGACCAGGCACCAAGAGCGCCCTCAAGACGACGGAAAGGATGACCAAGACGAGGAGCACGGCAGACCAAGACGAGGAGCACGGCAGACTATGCCCTAAGAGTGCCCTCAAGACGGCCGAACAACGGCAGACCCCATAGGAGCACGGCAGACCACAGAAGAGCACGGCAGACCAACAGGAGCACGGCAGACCACACAAGAGCACGGCAGGCCACACAGGAGCACGGCAGACCACACAGGAGCACGGCAGACCACAAAGGAGCACGGCAGACCACACAAGAGCACGGCAGACCCCACAAGAGCACGGCAGACCCCACAGGAGCACGGCAGACCCCACAGGAACACGGCAGAGCAGACCCAAAAGGAGCACGGCAGACCACACAGGAGCAAGGCAAACCACAGGAGCACGGCAGACCACACAGGAGCACGGCAGACCCCACAGTAGCAAGGCAGACCCCAAAGGAGCACGGCAGACCACCGGAGCACGGCAGACCACACAGGAGTACGGCAGACCCCACATGAGCACGGCAAATCCCAAATGAGCACGGCAGACCACAAGAGCACGGCAGACCACACAGGAGCACGGCAGACTCCACAGGAGCACGGCAGACCACAAAGGAGCACGGCAGACCACACAGGAGCCCGGCAGACGCCACAGGAGCACGGCAGACGCCACAGGAGCACGGCGGAACCCACAGGAGCACGGCAGACCGCGCGCGGGTACAACATAAACGCGCCTTTTTGTTGTACCCCGAACGCCGCTGGCGTTTCCCCAACAGGAGCACGGCAGATCTCACAGGCGCGCGGCAGACCCCAAATGAGCACGGCCGACCACAGGAGCACGGCAGACCCCAAATGAGTACGGCAGACCCCAAAAGAGCACCGTACTTGGATGCCCGCGCTGCTTGGTAAGTAGATCGCGTGATTGCAACATGTTGTAAGTATGTTTCAAGCGACTTTCAACAATGTTGTTCGTAGGTTGCAAGTGTTATGTCTGAGGTGTATGTGTGCTATTCTCATTACCCCAGCGTCTTTTCGGATCGCTCACTTAGCGAACTGCGCGAAGTAGGGGAGGGTATTTAGGCGAGCGTTATAAACAGAATACCCTATGTCCGCTAACTTGATTCGGGTACTTAGCCAACCACCCCCCAAGTAGGTTAGCGCGCGGCGTAAGTATACCCCAAACCCAGATAGCTAACCACGGTTAGCTGAGATAGCGAAGTAGGTTTGTTGCATGATATGCTATGGTTTCTGCTATGCAATGCTACATTTTTGGCCACCAACCCGACGGACTCATCATAGAAATGGCTGCGTTTCGATGTAACGGAAGCCACTATCATGATCATTGTTGCCATTCCATAGCCGTTTGAGGTATGATGTTGGGTTTGATTTCGCGTTTCTCAATTGCCGCCACCACCATATTCTTAGGCATGTCGGACCTTAGCGACAGTTTGAAATCGACTTTGACGACCATCGCTGCAGATATCAACAAGACTCTTTCGAACATGGGCGATGTAGAAATTACGAACAAGCAGAAAAAGGCTACAGCGAACGATATTGTGCATCGGCTTCTTTCCAACAACTTAGCATGCACTGAAATTGTCAAGCCTGGTTTCCTCGGATGCCATGGAGATAACAGATTCGGGCAAGGCCTGGAAGCCCAAGACGTCCATACTTTATTGGAAGAGATCGCGAAGGCAGGATTTTCGATGCAAGAATGTGCTGGCGCGACGGCTTTCGAAGTCTCGCCCGACGCAAGCAAATTCGATGAACAGCTCAGGTTTCAACAGAAATTGCATGAGATGTCCGACGACATGTTGCCTGCCATGGAGCGTCACAACCTCAGATACTTGACGGTGTGTTGTTCCCACACAAATGCTACGTTTCGTTGTGTGCTGGGCAACTGCGCTACTACAATCGAGGACCTCGCGAACGAGGACGGGGAACTGACGATGGAGAAACTTATCAGCTACTGCCCAACATACGGGCCGCCATTGAGAGATGGAATTCCGTGGGTTATCATCCGCCACCAGGTGGAAGCGGAGTGCCCCGACCTACCGAGCTTCCTTCAAGAAGCAGGCAACCAGTCGCACAACGCACGCCAAGTTCAAACACAGATGCAAACATTGTTGCGCATCCATCGCATTGCCACAAAGAATTACAAGATGCACGCCGACCCGAAGTGGGAGTTGCTCTGCAAGGACTTGGTGAAATCGAACTCCGAGCTCAAGGGCGACGTCGAAGGCATGAGTCTCTACGTCAAGGAGTGGTCTGGAGGAGAGAATGCATCATACTTGAAAGAGCTTCAAGAATTTGCATGTTCGTTGAAGTTCCGACGTCACATTCCAGGGTCCCTCTGGAAAGCACTCGGCAGCGTCCAACTCGCTCAAGGTGTTGATTACATTACCGCTACAATCAAGGCTAGCATGACAGCGCCCGAGGCGCACTGCAGGGGCAACGAGAGCAAACTTCTTTCGTCTACTGATGTTCTCTCAATTCAGAATAAGCTCAAGCCGCAATGCATCACAGCAGCTACCATGATGAAGGCAGCTCGGACTTTCGTGAATACCATCACCTGCCTCACGATTGGTAAGAAGAAGAAGCTGATCCATGACTTCGACATCCGATGCGTTATGACAGTGCACAACAAGAAATGCAGATCGAGACGTCACTACGCCACCTTGGGGGAGGTACAGCAATCCCTGCTGGAGGACGTGTACGCGATCGCACCTGCAGCGAAGGAGCTGACACCTCCCTGGAACTACGAGCCTAAGCTTGACGAGAAGGCGCCGTGCGTTGGCGCGATCAGGGAGTTCAAGGACGACGGCCTTCAAAGCTGTGCCGAACTGGGCTTCGTGCAAGGAGCTAAAATCCAGGCCGTCGACGATGAGACCAGGAAGTACATCATCCAGAACGTCATGGGCGGCGAGGCCACTGTGATGAAGCTGACGGACACGGGCAACAAGTTCACGCCGAAGCCGTTCAAGATACTGGTTTCCAAGATGGTCGACGAGTACAAGGCGCATCGGTTAAAAAAAACAAGTTCGCCCTCTCCCAATGTATGTTTTTGTTCCATTAATGTTTGGTGGCCCCTTTCATGTTTCTTTTGTTGGTGGCCCCTGGAAAAGCCAGCCTCATGAGGCTGGCGTCTCCAATATATAATGCTGGGGGGTTCTGCTCTTGCGGATGGGCCGAAGGCCACTAGATATAGCGTTGGGGTCTCTGCTCTTACTCTAGAGGGGCCTTCCCCACATCCGAACTTGACTCCGTCGTCGTTGCCATCGCCACCCCGATTCCTCACCTTCTTTCTCCGTGCCCTTCTCTCCATTCCCTTCCTGATCCTCCCCGCGATGACTGCCTTTATCGACTTCGAGGTCTGGCTCACCGTCCTTCCTCGCAATGGCTGCCGTTCGTCATCTTAGCAAACCCCCCTCATCACCCTCAACTGTCCCAATATTTTCGCAATGCCGCCCCCCAGAGGTGCTCATGGAGACAGAGCACGTGACCATCGAGGCTGACGGGGCGTCCGTTCTGGACGCTCACAGGGCGAGAGGGAGAGGATACAGATGTGCAGGAGGAGCAGTACGAACGTAGAGGAGGAGGATGATGAGGAGGATGAGGAGGAGGAAGAGAAGGATGATGAGGCCAGGGGAAAATGGATGAGGAAGATACTGAGGAGGAGGAGCAGCAGCAGAAGCAGCAGGAGGACTAGGAGGAGGAGGAGGAGGATGTGAATGAGAGGACCCTCGTGGTTCACTCAGCGTCACCGTCCTACTCATCCTACAAGCGTGCGTCCTCGTCCCTCTCACCCGCTGCAGGAGCATGCAGATATTGCGAACGAGGAGATGAAGGCTCTGGTGAAACTGGCGCTCACCAACGCTACGTATGCCTACAACGCGAAGGTGAGCATCGAATACGTTCTCAGCTCGAGGCCGACTGTTTCGAAGGTGTCCGCGACGACCGATTGCCCTAAGCATGGTATGATATTGATCCCACTGACGCCACTTGTTTCTATCGGCCCTAAAGCGCCCAACAACTGCATAGTTGTGTCTATCCTTGGCAATCGAAGCGGCACGCATTGCTACATAAGCCCGAAGACTGATTTCAACCATGGTGATGAGACTAAGCTCGTGGTTCCATTTTGGATCGTGCCCGAGGGGGATGAACCGAACCTAGAGTTCAGCAAAATGAAAGTTCAGCTAAACGGCACGGTTTCGCATGGTAAGTCTACTGAGGCTGGCGCGCTTTTGTCTGTTGAGATCCCCTACCTCACAAACCCCAAGCCGATCAAGAAAGGGACTGTGCTGTGTAGGCCTCCATTTCCTAAAGTAGACCCGACCCCGAAGAGAGCCTCCGTGGGCAGTGGGGGCGGCGCTCCTAAGCGAGCGAAGGCGTGATTTGAAACCCTCTAGGTCCGACCATGGCTCCCTCCCCCCACACTCCTCCATTCCGCGCGCATGTCACATACATGTTGCGCACATTACACTTCTCGCCCTCGCGCGCTCACGCCATGGTCACCAGTGAAGCCAGCCAGTTTAGTGTTGTCTCGCGTGGTCGCCTTGAGGGCATGTGCGGCCTCTGTCGAATGCACGGTGCCAGCTCGAGACCGCTCTGACGTAGGGGCGCGGTGTGGCTTATTCGCGTAGGTAGAGGGGTTGGGAGGCAGATGGGAGTTGACAAAAGAGAGGGTAACAGAGAAAGAGCGAGAGAGAGGGTGACGGGCAATGGCAAAGGTGAGATCAAGAATGGGCGGGAGCTCTCTACCGCTGGCACCAGCATTGCAACTTTAGTGTTGACCCGTGTGCGAATGTATTTTTCGAACGAGATGGCTGGCCCGACTCAGAGATGACATCTCATCAACGGCGGCCCAACCAATGAACTCGGAAGCAGTAGAAGCATCACGGTAGCTATGATAGCATCATGGGTGGCAGCAGGCGGTGTAGCGATAGCGGTGGTAGTCATCCAAAAGGGTGCGATCGACACTAACTGTCGTCGGATCAAGTGCATCAGCATATGCACAGCACATCGACTGAACAACGGTAGTAGCACAATGCAGGAGCATCAGCAACAGCAATGATATGCGGTAGCAGGATGCAAGGTGAAAAGTAGCAGGTGCACGTGTCGCAGTAGAAGGGCTCGGAGTATACGAGTGGGAACGACAGTACGTATGATAACAGTCGCCGTAGCAGCAATAGCAGCGATAGTGCAGCAGGAGCAGTGTTACTGAACGCTGTAGGAGAAGTAGTCGCAGCGTTGCAGTCGCAGCAGTAGTAGTAGTAGTAGTAGTAGTAGTAGTAGTAGTAGTAGTAGTAGTAGTAGTAGTAGTAGTAGTAGTGGCGGTGGTAGTAGTAGTAGTAGTGGTAGTAGTAGCAGTCGTAATAGCACCAGCAGCAGCAACTGTAACAGCAATAATGGTAGCCCTAGAACGAGCAATAGCCGTAGCACCCCTAGGCTTAATTGTAATGACGGTAGTAGTGGCAATGGTAGCGCTGGTACTATACATCGAAACAACAGTCGCAATGGCGAGGGCATTGGTGGTAACACGTGGACCCTGCGCACCACGCAAAAACTTGACGGTCGCCGTGGCAATCGCAAACATACTCGCAACCGCAATGCAAATACATGCAGGGGGGTCTGTAGTACTTGTAGGGAAGAGGGCTTGACCACTGATCGACCCCGCGCCTAGGCCTGCAGTGGCCTCCGACACTAGAAATGGGTTCGGCAGAACTGCAAAGAAGGACAGAAGGAGGAACATAAGGCACTCCTCCTGATGCGTCCTCCGTCCTCACCCATCCATCCTCGCACATATCATCCAACTCCAATGTTCCTTCCCGTCCTCCTCCGAAGCCATTTTGGCTCAAACAATCTGGACGAGCAGGCATCCACTTCAGGTGTGTCCTTGCAAGATGGCGTCGATGGAAGATGGGTTCGTAATGGTCTCTGCTTCGACCCCAGCCACAGCTGCCAACACATGGTATGTGAAGCCACAAATTGTTGGAGACCGTCGCTTCATCCCATGCTGCCGCTCGGAGCACCGATTCGTTAAATTCGTTGGCGGGAAGTTCGGCATGGTCGACGAGCTCACTCGCCTTCGCAATATCAAGGTGGAATATCTCATGAGCCAAGTTGAGACTGTGGTGGACGATGACCCCTTGGCTGAGGAAGGCGTTCCTGCTCAGCCTTGCAAGCGCCCTCGCAAGGACCTCATCGATGAGATATCGGACTTCGTGGTCGTGACGGTCCAGACCACTGACGACGTCAGCCACGACGTGTTTGTCCTCACGTGTGCCAACCACAGGAACGTCCTCTTCATCGAGCTCACCATGGAGAACCTCAATATACTCAATATGTGCCCTAAGGTGCCAGAGTCTACGCCATTCAATCCCGTGGTGAACAGCGAGAAGGTCGAGTGGGTTGAATATCGCCATTCGGTCCGAACGAAGTGGCTCGATTTCGCCTCAATGAGCTGGAAGGTCAAGAGCCTCAAGCTGAAGCCAGGGCCTGACCTACAGGATCGGTGCGATAAGCTTGTGTCAGTACTCGAAGCGTGGTATGATGCACACCACAGGGATCCCAACGTGGGTCGCAAGTACCTTCTCGACTAAGTCTGCTCTGAATTGGAAATCAACCGTGCTGTGATTTTGGGGTATTGCCTGCACGTTGTGCCCATTTGCATGCATCGGGTTCGCCTGTGCGCGTGTGCTTGCCTGTTGCACGGTAGCTTCAAGTGTGGCAGTTGAGTGGGCTCACGCCCTCTTGTGGTCTATCTGATGTGTAGGCGCATGCTGACCGCAGGATACTAGATACGTCGTCTCCCATCATGTTGGTAGCTCACATGCTGATGAAAAACATCTAGATGTCGCCACCATGCGAGCGCACGACTCGCAACTGATGCCTCGATTGAGGCTGGTTTGAGTTCCACCCGTGGAAGTCGCACCGCTGTGCGAGTTCCACCCGTGGAGTTCGCACAACCGTGCGAGTTCCACCCGTGGAGTTCGCACCGTGTGCACAACGAACCCATATGACTGCATGTGCGAACTCAACGGGTGGAGTTCGCACAACGGTGCGAACTCCACAGGTGGAACTCGCACAACGGTGCGAACTCCACAGGTGGAACTCGCACCAACGCGTTGTCAGATGTGGTCACGCCTGTGCGGTGTAAGTTACCAGCCCTGCGCAGCGCATAATGCGTCTGCACTACATCAAATATTGAGGCGACTTGGCGCAAGGAGGCGCGGGGGCATGAGGGATAAGGAGTGGGAGCAAGGAGGGATGAGGACGAGGATGAGGACGGACCAAACAATAACAGAGGAGTGGGGAGGAGGGAGAGGGAGGATAGTTAGAGAAGGATGGGGAGGTCACGATTGCGAAGCAAGCACAATGCATGTAGCACCAACATAGCGAAAAGGAATGAGAGAGCACGGTAACAGGGAGGGGCTGTTTTGTGACAGGGGCGGCTTGACACTTCAATGCACGACAGAACCCATGAGATATGGCTTGCGGAGCTCTCCCTACTTCGGCGATTGGCACAGCGCATGCGCACGCCGTCCTCTATTCCCTCTGAGGCCCACCCTCCTGCATGCAAGCTCATCTCCCTGTATGTGCCGCTCCCTCCTGCTACCCCCTCACCCTCCTCCAAGAGAGATCCACCGTCACCGTCATGGTGTCCTACAGTTTTTTTCTGCTACGCCGACCTCCTGCTCCTCCACCTCCCCCCTCCCCCTCCTCAGCCGTTTTGGCTCAACTACGTCAGGCTGTACTGCCGACAGTGCACACCACCAGTTTTGTCGATCAAGCTTGACCGAGTTGTAATGGCATCGCCAGCCTCCCATGGCGACGTAGCCGACGCGCTCATCGCCAGCGTGAGGCAACGCGTCCACTTTGTCAATGCCCAGTCTGCTGCTGGGGTTGATCGCGACGCCCTTCTGGCATCACAAGTACGAGCACTGTGCAACCAGATCGCTTCGTCTGGGAACCTATCGGTCGACGCGACGACCGCTGTATCCAAGGAGATTGTCACTGGGCCATGGACCGCGGAGCAGACAACGCAGCTGGCCAACGCACTTGCAGAGAAGATGTCCGAATCCAGCCGCGCGCAGCCCACCGTCACCAGGCAGCTCCAGACGTGCGACCACATCGAGGACTTCTTCACCACACAGGAGTGGGACATTGTTGCTAACGATCACTACGCACTTCCTCCGAAAGTGAGCGCACTGGCGATGCGCATGTATCGCCTCGGGCTTGTGTGCCCATCGGCGGACCTCAAGAAGCGCGCAGTAGCGTGCATTATAATCATGTCGAACATGCTGTCCATGAGCTTCAAGGGGAAGCAGGAGCTTGGGAACCAGCTGGTGAAGGAGATCAAGGCGCTGGATCGCGCTGTTCGGTGGCCGCACACACATATGACCAAGTACCCCGTCGATCCCAGGATGCTCCCTCAGCACGTCCAGGACTTCGCGTACCAAGCGACTGATGGTCCAGTGCCTGGAGGTTTTGCCGCAGAGGTCCTTGGTGCCGAGATGGAGAGCATCCCCAGCAGAAGCACGCGCACTGGACTCCGCCAAGAGCTGCGTGGCGCTGCACCTGGAACTGCTCTTCAACTTGCGCAACCTGCTGTCGACCAAGCTGCAGCGCTGCACGGTGCAATGCTCCCGTTCTTCCAGAGCCTGCAGGCGTTGATCGGCCAGGTCGGGGGTGGCAACCAGGGTGGCAACCCGCACGAGCAAGGTGTGAACCTCACGTTCGCGAATACTCGGAGGGCTCTGGATGCCCGCCAGTATGCCTCGCCATCGCCAACTACCCCTGCTCCTCGGTCTGCGGTGAGCTCGGCAAGCCTTTCGACTTCGGGCTCACCACCTGTTGCTGCGGCTACTCAATGCATTCCCGCGCCGCTTGATGACGCCCCCACCGTGCACGGAGGATTCCCCACCGTGGACGCCGCCAAGGAGGACGCGGTAGACGAGGCTACTGAGCTGGAGGATCGCTTGCTCGCGTCTGCTGCTGCGAGTGGGAGCGCTCTCGCGGGGAAGGCGAAACAGGTCATGAAGGCGAAGGGGAAGGGGAAAGCCAAAGCCAAGGCAAAGGCCAAACCGACAGCCAAGGCCGCCACGGCCAAGGCTTGCGAGCACAAGGGGGAGGGCACGGACGCGTCCAAGCCCAAGACCAGCGTGAAGACCAAGAAGGGTACCCCTTGCATTGTTGTCGCAGACTCGGCCTAGCATGATGCATGTGTGCACGCACGTGTGTATTGCTGAACTACGAGTTGCAACGCTGCTTCTCTCATCACACTCTGAAAGCATGGTGGTGTGCTGAGCGACCCTTTACTTCCACATGCCACGACCTCCCGTCCTCTCTTCGTGGCCTCCCTCTGCTTACCGTCATCCCCATCGTGCTCCTTCACGTTCTCCCCTTCTGATCCTACCCTCCTGCTCCTCCTCCCCCTCCTGTCCTCCTCCTCCTCGTCCTCATCCTCCGCCTCGTTCTTTTTTCATGTAACAGATCCGCGTCTCTCTGAGCCCCAACTTGCGGCGCCAGGTATCATCATCTTCACCAGGTGGCTGAAGCCCTGCGACTGCAAAGGCAGGACCCTCAACTTGTTTACCTCTCGTGCTTACTCAGGCGCAAAGGCCGCAGCTCGCTCTTTGGGTCTGTCTGATGAGGAATGCCGCTCTGTGGCTGGTGCCGCGTACCGTGCAGCCTCTTCTGTGTTCAGCAAACATGGGGGCATGTAGATAGTCTTCATGCAGCAGCATTGGCCGCCGACGAGTGTCTTAATATCACATATTGCACGTGTACTTCGTAGCTGGGGTTGCTGCGAGTGGGCGTTGTTGGCCATTGAGATAGATTCGGTTTGCAGCAACACGGTCGGGCCCCCACTTGTGAAACATCGGCCTTTCTGTCAATCTCATCGGTCCGTGGCTTTAGGGTAGCAGCTCGAACATCCAACTCAGTAGCAGCAACAGCGACAGCAATTCGTGACAATCGCAACGTAAGTTCGGTCCCAAATACATGCAACAAAACATACAACGCCACGCATCAAACGAAGACGAACGGAAACACCCAAAAACGAAAATGCCACGTGAATGTCGGGGTGAACACAAGGGGCTATGTCGCAATCCCCCCCCCCCAAAAAAAAAAACAAAGCAACGCGTCATCCTCACTATTCTCCGTAGCTGTCTAGCTCAACGTTGGCGCCAGCACGCACATCCCATAGAATTCCCTCAGCGGTTTTGGGTGAAGCATGGATGGCGGAGCCAACTCGGAAGCGCATCAAGCTAACAGACTATGGTAAACACTCCCACGTAACAGCGAATGGGATGGCAAAGCTTTTGGAGCAGGTTCGTCTACATGGATTGCCTGACGCGTTCAGTAGGTCGACGCAGCAAAGGGCCAGGCAATCACTGGCGTTCCAGTCCACCAGCTTCGGGCACCTCTTGCAGAAGACAGAGGTGCCAATAGATGACAATGGAGGCTCTGTGGATATATGGGTACAACACCCGCTGGGATTCCTGGAAGCAGCATGCGCCGAGAGCGACAGCTTTAGGACGTTTCTGCAATCGGTGCTGAATGAGAGCAGCAATAAGATCAGCATCTTGATTTATTCAGACGAGGTGACGCCTGGAAACCCATTGTCTGATAACAACAAGCGGCGGATACAGGCTATATATTGGTCGGTGGCAGAATTCGGATGGCCTGCCTTGGCTCATGAGGAGTTTTGGTTCGCAGCTGCAGGGATACGATCGAAGGTAGTGGACTCGCTGCCAGGCGGAATGGGCGAAGCTTTCAAGCATGTATTGAAGAGTTTTTTCGGGCTGCCCTCGAAACCCGACCTTCGGCATGGAGTGGCGATGCAGATTCCTGGGGAGAACTCCCCGAGAATAGTGTTCGGCGCATTGGCGCTGATGCTTCAAGACGAGCGAGCTCACAAATTTTCAACTCATGCCAAAGGGGCAGGGGCCCATAAGATTTGCGCGATGTGCGCAAATTGCGTCTCGCACAAGAGCAGCCTCCTCCCCGACAGCACTGGGTTTTTAGTCAGCGCAGCTATTTGCGGCATGAGCATGTTTCAGCAGCACAGCGATAGAAGCCTCAATGGAGTACAGCGTAGACTTCGACAGGCAGCAGCAGACAACAATGGAGACGAATTGCAGCGATTAGAAACCCTTTTCGGTTTCAACTTTTTTCCCACCGCAATGCTGCAAGACGACGACCTGGACATTAAGTTGGCGTCGATTTGGGCATACGATTGGATGCATGTATTTTTTATAGACGGAGTTTTTGTGAACGAGGTCAAACAACTTTTAAAAACAATTGGAAGTCAGATCGGGATCCCGTTTGGAACGTTTCACACGTACTTGCAACACTGGGCGTGGCCTCAAGCATATGGTCATGCAAAGAACGTGGTCGAAGACGGTAAATTGACTGGGTGCGCTAGCGAAATGGTATCAATGGCTCCTGTTCTCCAGAAGTTTCTGCAAGATGTCTTAGTTCCCAGTGGAAAATGTGTGAAGGAAGTCCAGAGCGCTTTGGCGTTATGTCATACCGTGACCTTGCTAGTTGCTGTAAACACTGGGACTGTGACAGCAGATGATCTCGAAATGGCAATTTCAGATCATCTCGGCAAGCATCAGACAGCGTACTCCACCACCCTGTGGAAACCAAAGATGCACATGTCAATACACTTGCCTGAACAATTCCGTAGGGATGGGTACCTTCTATCGACACATCTACATGAAAGGAAACATCGTCTGTTCAAGAGATTTGCCACATCACGACATAACACATGCTCATACGACAGAGGCCTCCTAGAGGAGGCCACTGTGCAGGCGCTGTTTGACTTGAGGGCACCAGTCCTCGGCAATGGCTTGGTCGACCCAAGGCCAGCGCCGAACAAGATCAAGGACGCTGCAATTTCATGTGGCGTCGCACTGCCCGCACAAGACGTGTGGTGCTCAAATGCCGCCCGATCTAGAGACCGAGTGGTCCAGGTCAACGACGTTGTTGCGTATGAAGCAGGTTCTGGCCTCCAGCCTCAGTTCGGCCAAGTTCTTTTCCACATGCGTGTAGGTGATAAAACGTTGTCTTGTATTTCAAAATGGCCAACCAAGGATGCACATGCACACAGTGTGCGGTGCGAGGTTAGCCATGCCCCAGCGCTTTTCCCGACTGCGAACATCATAGAACCATGCATTTTTTGGAGGACTGCTATAGGAAAGCTTTCGCACGTTCTCACTCCATGCAGGCTGAAGGCCAGGAGGTTGACTTAGACATTCCATGATGTCAAAGGGGATGGGGGAGGGCGTTGACTATCAAAGCAGGGATGGGGACAGGGATTCCTCCTCCTCCTCCTCCTCCTCCCTCCTCATCCTCCTCCTCCTCCTCCTCCTCCTCCTCCTCCTCCCCTCCTCCTCCTCCCTCCTCCTCCTCCTCTCCTCCTCCTCCTCCTCCTCCTCCTCTCTCTCCTCCTCCTCTCCTCCTCCTACCCCTCCTCCTCTCCTCCGCCTCCTCCTCCTCCTCTCCTCTCTCTCTCCTCCTCCTCGATCCTCCTCCTCCTCCTCCTCCTCCTCCTTCGCCTCCCCTTCCTCGCCTCCTCCTCCTCCTCCTCTTCCTCCTCCTCCTCCTCCTCCTCCTCATTTTTGGACTGTTTCGGAGCGGCTCAAGTAGTTATCCGCAGGAAAAGGCCCAAGGCTAACCTACTTAGCCCAACTTGGGCTAACCACTCAAACCAAGTTAACTTGGATAGCCAACTGCACTTGGTATCCAATTTAGCTTCAACCGCGCAACCCACTTAGCATCCTGGTTGGCTAAGTGTGCCAAGTAGATGCTATGCGCCATCTATTCGCCCGATGTGCTAACCAACCACCGCGGGCATCCAAGTAGACGCCTCAGGAGCACGGCTGACCACACAGGAGCACGGCAGCCTGGGCCGGTTCCGGCGCCGGCCGGCGCCGGAAAATTGAATTCCGAGGCGGTGCCGAAAAAAGGCCACTCCAAGACATATTTTTCTTTCGAAAATATTGATTTTCTGCTCCCGGCGCCCGGGAACCCCTTCCGGGCCGCTTCTGGCACCCGGGCCGGCGCTCGAGCCAAACGCCCGGGCCAGCACCCGGGCCAGCGCCCGGGCCGGTTCCGGCGCCGGCCGGCGCCGGAAAATTGAATTCCGAGGCGGTGCCGAAAAAAGGCCACTCCAAGACATATTTTTCTTTCGAAAATATTGATTTTCTGCTCCCGGCGCCCGGGAACCCCTTCCGGGCCGCTTCCGGCACCCGGGCCGGCGCTCGAGCCGAACGCCTGGGCCAGCACCCGGGCCAGCGCCCGGGCCGGTTCCGGCGCCGGCCGGCGCCGGAAAATTGAATTCCGAGGCGGTGCGGAAAAAAGGCCACTCCAAGACATATTTTTCTTTCGAAAATATTGATTTTCTGCTCCCGGCGCCCTGGAACCCCTTCCGGGCCGATTCCGGCACCCAGGCCGGCGCTCGAACCGAACGCCCGGGCCGGCACCTGGGCTGGCGGCCGACGCGCGATGCGCTGCCACAAGCCAGCTTCCCGCAAGATCGGTCCAGAGTGGGAGGGGACGGAGCTGGGCGGGTGAAGGACCACCAGAGCACTGCTCCAGCCTTCCCTCAGCCCTGGGTCTGCTGACCACACAGGAGCACGGCAGACCCCACAGGAGCGCGGCAAACCACAAAGGAGCACGGCAAACCACAAATGAGCACGGCAGTCCACACGTTCGCACGGCAGACCGCACAGGAGCACGGCAGACCCCACATGAGCACGGCAGACCAAGAAGGAGCACGGCAGACCACACAGGAGCACGGCAGACCACACAGCAGCACGGTAGACCACACAGGACACGGCAGACCCCACGGGAGCACGGCAGACCACACAGGAGCACGGCAAACCACACAAGAGCACGGCGGCAGCAGGTGAGGCGGAGGCTGAGCCCCTGGCGCCTGACTCCTCGGGGACCTCGAGGGAGGCTTGGCTGAGCGCCTACGGGCTCGACGAAGCGAGCCTCCTTGAGTGGTCAGCCGCAGCAGAGACGGCGCGCGAAGACAGGCGCAAGAGACGCCGTCGCGCTGAAGGTGACGAAGGGGAGTGATGCAGCATCACTTTCCTCTTTCTGTTGTATTCGCCCCTCGTCACCTCTGTTGGCGTGCGCGTGTGGCAGCGTCTTCTGCCCCGCATTGTTGATGCAGCGAGGAGGATGTCAGGCGGATGTGCGCCTACGCCCCGCTGCTTTCTGATTTCTTTGAAATCGTGCGCTTCGCGCTTTTGGCGCTTCGCGCCCTTTCCCTGGCGGCTCTCTTGGGGCCCCTAGGGTTGGCCCTTGAGGCCCTGGGGCCAACGGGCTCTGTGGGCCTCGGGCTTCTTTTAGCCTTCACTGGCCCCGCAGCTCACAGCTCACACAAGAGCACGGCAGACCATACAGGAGCACGCCAGACCACACAGGAGCACGGCAGACCACACGTTCGCACGGCAAACTCCACAGGAGCACGGCAGACCCCAAAGGAGCACGGCAGACCACAGGAGCACGGAAGACCGCACAGGAGCACGGCAGACCACACAGGAGCACGGCAAACCAAGAAGGAGCACGGCAGACCACAGGAGCACCGCAGACGCCACAGAAGCACGGCAGATCGTCGTCGTCGTCATCGTCGTCGTCGTCGTCTTCGTCAATAACGATCTCGAAAATTACGACAAAAAACGATGACAGAAAACGACCACAAACATAACACAAAAACCAACCGAACACGGAATCCAACAACAAAAAAACAATCAGAAAAACGACCGCAATCATAAAATGATAACGACGGCGACAGCGAGAACGGCAACAGCGGACGATTATAATGAAAACGACGACCACGACAAAGGAAAGGCACGCGACGACGACGACGGACAAACAAAAGACAAGACAGGCTGGAACAGAAAAAGTAGGCTGGGCGACAACGGGTGGGGGCCCGCGTGGCCGAGAGAAAAGCACGGTGTCGACACCATGATGTGGCCAGGGCAGCAGACTACCTCGACAGACCAGCGCGGCAGGCCACCATTTAGTCTGTTCTGTTGCGTTTATGGGTTTCTCTGACGTTCTCGCCAATACGGTCTCTGACGCACGTGGTGGATAAAAAACGGCGCTTCCCGTTCTTGTCCGGTCAGGATTCCCCAAAATGGCCATTTCGCTCGAGACATCCTCCAAAAAATCGAGGTGTGGTCTGCCGTGCTCCTGTGTGGTCTGCCGTGCTCCTGTGGTCTGCCGTGCTCCCCACAGGAGCACGGCAGACCGCGCGCAGGAACCGAGAGGAGCACGGCAGACCAAGACGAGGAGCACGGCAGACCAGGCACTGAAACCGAGAGGAGCACGGCAGACCAAGACGAGGAGCACGGCAGACCAGGCACCAAGAGCGCCCTCAAGACGACGGAAAGGATGACCAAGACGAGGAGCACGGCAGACCAAGACGAGGAGCACGGCAGACTATGCCCTAAGAGTGCCCTCAAGACGGCCGAACAAGCGGGACGTTCTGGCTGAATCCTTGAGTAAATATATCTTTTCTTTAACTATATGGGTTGAGCACGGCAGACACCACACGAGCACGGCAGATCCCAAATGAGCACGGCAGACACAGAAGCACTGCAGACCACACAAGAGCACCGCAGACCTCACAGGAGCACGGCAGACCCCACAGGAGCACGGCAGACCCCACAGGAGCACGGCAAACCACAAAGGAGCACGGCAGACCACAGAAGCACGGCAAACCACACAGGAGCACGGCAGACCACACAGGAGCACGGCAATCCCCACAGGAGCACGGCAGACCGCGCACAGGTACAACATAAACGCGCCTTTTCTTGTACCCCGAACGCCGCTGGCGTTTCCCCCACAGGAGCACGGCAGACCCCACAAGCTGGCGGGAAACCCCAAATGAGCACGGCAGACCACGGCAGACCACACAGGAGCACGGCAGACGCCACAGGAGCACGGCAAACCGCGCAGGAGCACGGCAGACCACACATGAACACGGCAGACCCCGCAGGAGCACGGCAGACCCCATAGGAGCACGGCGGACCACAGAAGAGCACGGCAGACCAACAGGAGCACGGCAGACCACACAAGAGCACGGCAGGCCACACAGGAGCACGGCAGACCACACAGGAGCACGGCAGACCACAAAGGAGCACGGCAGACCACACAAGAGCACGGCAGACCCCACAAGAGCACGGCAGACCCCACAGGAGCACGGCAGACCCCACAGGAGCACGGCAGAGCAGACCCAAAAGGAGCACGGCAGACCACACAGGAGCAAGGCAAACCACAGGAGCACGGCAGACCACACAGGAGCACGGCAGACCCCACAGTAGCAAGGCAGACCCCAAAGGAGCACGGCAGACCACCGGAGCACGGCAGACCACACAGGAGTACGGCAGACCCCACATGAGCACGGCAAATCCCAAATGAGCACGGCAGACCACAAGAGCACGGCAGACCACACAGGAGCACGGCAGACTCCACAGGAGCACGGCAGACCACAAAGGAGCACGGCAGACCACACAGGAGCCCGGCAGACGCCACAGGAGCACGGCAGACGCCACAGGAGCACGGCGGAACCCACAGGAGCACGGCAGACCGCGCGCGGGTACAACATAAACGCGCCTTTTTGTTGTACCCCGAACGCCGCTGGCGTTTCCCCAACAGGAGCACGGCAGATCTCACAGGCGCGCGGCAGACCCCAAATGAGCACGGCCGACCACAGGAGCACGGCAGACCCCAAATGAGTACGGCAGACCCCAAAAGAGCACCGTAGACGCCTCAGGAGCACGGCTGACCACACAGGAGCACGGCAGACCACACAGGAGCGCGGCAAACCACAAAGGAGCAAGGCAGACCCCAAATGAGCACGGCAGTCCACACGTTCGCACGGCAGACCGCACAGGAGCACGGCAGACCCACATGAGCACGGCAGACCAAGAAGGAGCACGGCAGACCACACAGGAGCACGGCAGACCACACAGGAGCACGGCAGACCACACAGGACACGGCAGACCCCACGGGAGCACGGCAGACCACACAGGAGCACGGCAAACCACACAAGAGCACGGCAGACCATACAGGAGCACGCCAGACCACACAGGAGCACGGCAGACCACACGTTCGCACGGCAAACTCCACAGGAGCACGGCAGACCCCAAAGGAGCACGGCAGTGGTACGTGGCACTGCTGTGGTATGCCGTACTAAAAACGTGGAATATCTCATAAGCCCAGGGGACAAAAG